GCAAGAAGTGAACTCTGTGAGGATGCCAGCCTTGGGCTTTCAGGCTTTAAAACTGTATGATAAATTAACCTTTTGTCTTTATAACATTTCTTAGCATCAGGCATTTTATTATACTGACACAAAAATAGCTAAGACATATACAAAGCTTAATTATATTTCCACAGGGCCCAGGGAGATAGTTCAGTAGAATAAGTGCTTTTCTGGCAAGCAGGGGGCCCTGAGTTCAACCCCAGGTACTGCAAAAATAGATATAGATATAGATATAGATATAGATATAGATATAGATATAGATATAGATATAGATATATATGCATATTTCTACATACCTGCAATGAACCTATGGGCACCAAACTAGAACTGTAATGCATATGTAAATTTTAAAATGTTAACAAGCTTTAATATAAATCCTGTGTGCTAAAACCTGCAACTACTTTGATTTCTGATTTAAAAAAATCAAAGATGCATTTATAGTATGTTCATGTATTAGAATAGTAAGATGTTAATTAACCTTATATTGATAAATGTTTTGGGTATAATAACTACTAGAATCCTAGGAACATTTCTGTAGATACATAAAAAATTATTCTAAAATGTAAGTGGAGGACCAGGGAACTAGCTCAGTAGAATAAACACTTGTCTGGCAAGTGCAAGGGCCTGAGTTCAATCCCCGGTTCTGCCAAAAAAATAAATATAAATAAATAAATAAATAAATAAATATTTTTACTTGAAACTCAGAATTGGATTCTAATATTTTTAAGCTTTCCATGTTTTAAAATCTTAACTCTTTTTTGAACAATGCAGAATGCCTAAATCTATTTTTATCAAATCTTTACACAATCATCATTTTTATTCATGAATGGTAAAGGGTGTGTGCTTTTTTTCTCTCGATCCTGTTGTGAGAAAACAGTGCAGTTCTGTGTGCTGTGCATCTATTTGCATGGATACATTCTCTGAGTAGAGTTTGTAGCTTTACACAAAAACGTCTCTAGTTGTTCCTTGAGCTCTAGTGACTTTTTAGTGTCACAGGATAAGAAAAAACACTGGACTATGTTTGATAATAGAAACAAAGGCAATTTTTGCATGTAGAGTTACAAAAACTTATGTCTGTCTCAATTCTGAATATCTAACATTCTAACTTCTAGAATTTTATATATCTTCTCTTTTCCTGAGGTGCTGTATGAGTAACATTTTTTATGGAACACTGTAGAATGATTTCTCTTTTCATTTAGCTGAGTAATGCTTTTTCTTTGTCTCCTGCTAGTTTATGAAAATACTGAAACACTCCACATTTCATTAAGCGATATCCATGGTGAAGTAATTTTAGGAAGGTGTCATTTTTGAGGACTTGGTCAGTAGTTAATATTACTTTATTTTTTTAAATTTTATTTTATTTTGAAGAGTAAAAACAAAAGCAAAAACAAATAGCAGAAACCAAAACAGATGCAGGGTAGCATACAACAATACATAATGTTACAGATTTTCAGAATAAGAATAGCAAATTAACAATGGTTGTTATATTACTGATTTTTATCATTGAATCTGTTGCTCAGATGAACAGATATAGCTATGCAGGATTGGACAAAGGATTGAATATTACTTTAACTGAACTT